TCCAATAACCGTCACTGGAACCTGTTGTTTAGTTCACTCTACCAGAAACAGTACTTCAGATTATAGCTGTAATTATCTTTGAGTTGTGACTGTAACGAACACGAGGCTTTTGTTAGGATGTTTCCACCTGTGTACATTTCGAAGTAAAACATCGTTTCACATGATGCCACGTGCACAGTGGCCATGTTGGTGTAAAACCGATAAAGCGGCAGCTATATTGATGTAACAAAAACGTCCTGTGGGAATTGAACTGAAAATTTTGCCCTAAGTGAGAAGTAAGTGTTAATGTCGGCTCAGGGGAGGGATAGGTGGGCAGTTTCCCGGAAGCGTACAATGATCCTAAAACAGTACATAGCTGCTGACCACGTGAGTGAAAATGATCTATTAATTTATCAAGGATGAATTCGGTTCTTTGCAATAACCAAGCGCCGTTCTGCTGAGCGAGAGAGGTCGCGCGGGTTCAAACCTCGGCCGGACCAACACTCAGTGTCTTAAAATAACTGAGGAGAAAGTGTTGCCTTTGTAATGACATCTGCAACGGTTAGATTTTCGAGTCTTCTCGAATAAGGACGAAAAAGCGTAGGTTCCCTCTGACAGCACTTTCACTTATCTGATTCTTGTAGGACATAAAAAAGCCCATACCACTGTTCGAAAAGAGTAGGGGACATAGACTCCGGTCGTGTGGCCAACCTTTCCCGGGCTAGGTCAGTGGGTTATGCATGGGGTAAGGAGAGATCTTAATGGAGGGATAACCTCATGATCCTCCTTTAGGTATCGTATAATGGCTACCAGTAAACAATGTATGTATTTAACCGCTTAAATTTTTGTTTATGTTTCATATTGTAATCCGCTTATTCTTGTCATAATAGGGCTAATCAACATCCCTTTTGAATTTCTCTTTTTAGGCTTCCTTGGTTGCAAATTACAAACTATAAAGCATGACTTGGTGGTTACCGATGTTAAGCTTGTCCTTTATTGCAGCAGTCTTTTTCTTACCAGCTTCTACTGCTGATCAGTGTGAGATTATATTGCTTAAACGTTGCAAAACGCGTTACAAGGAAGCTCTGGGCGCTACGTCCAATAGCAAAGAAGGTCATTGCATTAGACTTCAGGTATGCAGTAAAGGGATAAAAACAACGCGTGAAATATAACTGGGGTAAATCAGATTACGACTGTCAAAATGCTGTGCTAGACTCTTTTCACCCTCTCCACGTCACCACAAAACAACACTGGAAGGGAAGAGAGGGAGTTAAATACCACTTATCAACCGAGAGTGACGTCGTTACAAGGACATCTCAGACCGAGGCCGAGATTTCCCTGTAATGACCGAACGGACGAGGTTAATAAGTTATTTATTATATAGCCTTACAGTATGGACCTGAGCCTGCGATCAATTTAAACCAACAACTGGCTGACTTAAAAAAAAAAACACATCAGCTCAGTAAGTTCTACAATGTACACTTGAGTCCACGATACAGTCAGGTGATACTAGTTAGTTGATACTCTTTTTGACAGCTGTCAATCGACCATAACATGGATGTTCATTAAAAACACGATTGTATATGCCCAGTCATTATAAGAAAATAACCAATCGGAGTGCGCGCACTTTTGAGACCATATAACGATATATGTTCAAGTCCGACTCAGGTAGGTGTCCTGAATGTGGCTAAGGTACTAGCCTTCGTCCCTATCCAGTACACTCAGATCTCTCTAAGACAGGCAATGCTTAGTCTTTGAAAGGCGTCTACCTGAATATAGAGGCACCTACTGTGGATGATCGCTTTTAGGGAAGAGTCCATCTAAACACGTGCGGAGAACGTTGCCTGCTTAGAGATAGCCGAAGGAGTTAGAAGTTCCCTGGATATATATTTTTTTATATATTTGTGCCCTGCAAAAAAAAAACTTAGCTAAAACTGCTGTGCATTGAAAAATACATTATCTGGTGATATTGGCTCCGTAAGAGTTGTTATTCTAACCAATTATCGTTTATGATAAATTATATTAATTACGAATGAAAGACATTCGAAAATAATAGCACAATATTGCTCGATAAATTAAATTCCACACAAAACAGCATACGAAAATTTAAAAATTGTAAATATGGAGCGAGTTATGCAGCAAAAGAACAAATTTGTGACGGTGGTACAAATTGACATTTCGCTCTCAAAGTGCCTCAAACTCTCTAGGGAGCATCATTAGTTGCAGATAACTATACTTCGTTCTTGGGTTTCACTTGAAGCTGCGCACTAAAAAGTAATTTTCACGATGACGCAATTTGACGATAACTACAGAATTCATTTTGTTTTTACTTTCACTCGCTTTGTTATTTTATATATTTATTAATACCACTGAAGTTTAATCCACAGTTCTTATTTGCGGAACAAAACCGAAATCCTGCATGGCCGTAATTGTAGTAATTTGACATCATCGTGCAATTCTCCTATACAAGTCTCCTACGGTGTGGTTGAAATTAGGTTAGCTACTGCATGCAGGGCAATCCAATGTGGCGAGTGGGGAAGGCAAGGGTTCTTTGTAGCCTGTTCCAGGCACCGAGGTAGTCAGGTGTGCGGAATTGAGAAAGCGCGAACAGTGAAAATGAAACGGGAGGAAACTTTTTCCCGCCCCGCCCCCTAATCTCGCGCCTTTCACTTTCTCACTATTTATGTACCAGCTTTTCTGGACACAGGCCTGCCCAGAGGGAATGTGCACGAACGGGACTCAGGTCCCATGCGAGGTGCCATCCCTACCCAATCCCACAAACTGTAAAGGTTGGCCACACCACCAGGGTCTACGACCCCTACTCTTTTCGAATAGTGATGTGGGGTCTTTTACGTCCCACAACAACAAATCAGTGAAAGTGCTGTGAAACGTGACCTACGGTTTTTCGTCCTTATGCAAGAAGACTAGAAAGTCTAACCAATTGCAGATGTCATTACAAAGGCAGCACTTTCTTCTCAGTTATTTAAAGACCCTGAGTGTCGGTCCGCAGGGGTTTGAAGCCGCGACATCCCGCTCGGCAGATCGGTGCTCTCCCAGCTGAGCTATCTGAACTACCTGAGAGCCTGAAACAGGCTAGGGTTTTTTTTTGCAGGCTCACGTTTTTGAATTTCTGCATTTGTTATTTTATTTAGCAATTAATGATTTAGGCTGAGTAGGATGTGAAGAATTAAGCAGATCGAGGAGGGTGTTATCCACCGAGGTCGAAGGCCGAGGTGGATAACAAAATAATTCCTAGTTTAAAAAATGCTTACATGCATCGATGTTCATCTTCGATAGCGTACGTTTAGGTTTCTCCAGCTCTGCAAATATTATCCAAATAACAGATTTCGCCCTTCGAGTTGTCTTCTTGCTGTTTTTGCCGTGTTTTTAGCTATTATTTCGCCTTGTTACAGCTGTAGTTCTTACTCTTGAAACGAGTAAAACGTCCGCCATTTTTTTTTCACAACCAACACAACTCAACCTCGTCCCTAGGTCTTCTCGGTAACAGTGCCTTAACCTGTGACGGGCTGCATTTTTGACGTCATTCCCTCGTTAAACACAAAATTCTTCCAAATTTGGTCTTCAGTAACTGGTTATGGTGAATTATGCGTGTGCTTTTAGTCAATCAGAATTGTGGAAATATTTTGAATGACTAATAATTTACTTTAAGTCCCCTCTCCCACCTTCCTCACCTTTAACTTCACAATCAAAATCTGAATAAACGAGAGACTGTGACTATGTAACACTTCCGATACAAAACAGCTATACTGAACGGTACAATTTTTATAATACAGTAGAACGTCGATATAACGAACGTCTATATGACGAAGTCCTCGGTATAACGAACAATAGGCCATTTGTACGAAGAGGTCATGTAACATCGTTTTTATGAAAATGAAAGTTATATGATTTTGCCCTCGAAAAACGATTAGTGGGTCATATCTTAAACAAAATAATAGTCATTTGGTTTTTCAAACCAGCACCATTTCCTTAAAATGAGTAAGTTCGTAGCTGGTCACGTGACCAAAATGTGATTTTAAAATCATGAATTACCTCTTTCTGAACACAAATTTTGCACTTAAAGTTCAAGGGAAATGTTGAAAAGATGATGTGGTAACGTTCACAGCACATCTGAGAGTAACTATCAAACGTTTAACAAGATATAAGCAAAAAGTAGTTTTGGTCGCCATGTTGGAGGGCAAGAGTATGCCCTCCAACATGGCGGCCAATACAAATCATACTACTTTGTTGAAAAATCAAAGTGCCATAAAATATCTCCCTTGAATGCGTTTCCTCTCAAATTTCTGGTGTAAGATAATTTTTAATATGCTCTGTCAATTTTTGGCATCCGCAAGATTCCAACTCATCGTTGCAAGCATTGGTCACGTGACCTCTTAGTGCAACTGGCCTATTTTTTTTACCCCAGTAATTATAGGGTAAATATATGAAAAAGAACGTCGAAATAATGAACAAATTTTGCTAGCCCCTTGGCCCTTCGTTTTATCGAGGTTCCACCGTGTCACAAGCCTTTGTATTTATACCCCTTCCTACGTACCTGAAAAAGATAAGTTCCCTCAGGCCATCCCAATAAAATGTTGTTTGGTTTCCCATCGTCCCGTCGACCCATCTTTTTCGAAAAGTAAAAACAAAATAATTCCAGATTCCTCAAGTCTTAATTCAGTTCTTAATTTACAAATTCAGTTCCTTATTTACAAGCACACAGTCTTGTTTTATTAACAACATATTGGTATGATGTGATGTCCTTGTCTTTTATTAACATCGATACTACGCTTTTTAGACATTTTCATAGTCGAAAAGACCACGTTTTTGAGTTGATTTCTTACATACTAGCCCAGCCTTCTCGGGGGCCCAGACCCCTTCAAGTGTTCATTCTATTTTTTTTTCTTGCCCGACCGACCGACCCACCATCACGAGAGACGGGGCAATGGGAAAAGAAACATTTTATTGGGGTGGCCTCAGTAAAAAAAAAGCATTAACAATCTTCGTGTCTATTTCAGGGGATGGTCACGTGTCTGTCAGGTGTTACTAACTGTCATGGACAACTGATTGCTAACTTTCGCTATTGGATGTTACAAATGGCTATGATGGATAAAATATTGGAAGTCTGTCCGAACATGCAATATGGTGGTCTAAAGAACATTGTACGAAATACAAGTATGTTTCAGTATACTATCTGGGCCGTAATAAAGACGTTACACTGATCCAGAGATCGATACGGAAATAAAAGAGAAAACATTTTAGTTATCTTTCTAAGACTTAAATTTTAAGATTAAATAAATAATATCTTATTATTTTTCATGTTTTCATTTGCGTCGATCTCTCAGTTCTTCACAGTGAGGATCAGTTTGCGGTTTTTACTTAGGGACGGACCATTAGAAAACTTATGGGATGGGTGATGGGGGGGGGGGGATGCAGGCAAAGTACAAAAAAAAAATTCGCCCAAGGGAAAATTAAATGAAAAAAATTCTTGCACGCCAATTAATCCTAAAAAATATTCATGCTATGACCTAAAAAAAATTCATGCAACGAATTTGATAAGGAAAACAAATTCCTGCTGCTCGAAAATTCCCCTCCCCCCATAACTTTTCTAATGGTCCGTCCCTTAGAGTAATCCAGGTTTATTAACTATCCGGCACTATACCCACCTATTTTTTGATCTGGTTTTCCTTTATCAGACTTTTTATGTCTTACAGCAGGGGCTTCTGTTTACAGCTTGAAAATGCCTTATAAATATTTGCTTATTTCCATAGTTTGAACTAGTTACAACTAAAACTAGCTTATATCTTTGTCCTGATTAGTTGAGATTTCCTGACAAGAATTGACTAAAGGACCCAAACCATTCTCGACAAATTAAATTTCTGTCGTTTTTACTGTTAATATCTATCAAGTTTCATCCACTCAAACGGTGCCAAAAGCATTTTATAAGTAGATTATGTGAAAATCGAGTTGCGAACTAGTAAAACAAGCGCATTATTTTAGATATCTTGAGGAGAACCTGTCTAACATGATATCAAACGTATAATTGTAAATTCTATTTTTGGTATCTCTTTCATCAATTGATTTATTCCCTTTCATATTTTTTCTACAGAGGTAGCTGAAGCTCATCGCTACATAGATGACGTCGGTAAGAGAATGTTCTAGCTTTCAGTATTCGTTCATCGAAGATATAATCATAGACATATTTATCACAGACCTTTAACTTAAAACTTTCCATGGGAAGCCGCAAACTTAAAACTGCAGTTTGCGTTTGCAGTCTGAGGTTATGGCTTAAAATTATGTGAAGAATGCGAGTTCGAGTTTGGTTCGACTTAAAAAACCTAACTAGCACAAAACAAGCTTGTATAAAATTCTATTTCTTGCCTTGTCGCAGTTCAATTTTGTGTACAATTTATTAACAGCAACGCAATTGAAACAAGGTGAAAAGTTTCGACAGTATTTCATTTCTATTTTAATGTAAGGTTTTCCACCTTCGTTTTCTATTTTAAATAATGTCTATAGTCTTTGTTCATTTGCATTTTGATAATGGTGACATGTCGTCTCCGAAAACTCATGTTTTAGTAGCTTGCTCTTTATCCTTAAATGTTTTACATTTTTTCGTTTTTATTATCACTATCATATTATTATTATTGTTATTATTATTACATTATGGAATCTCAGGTTTAAAAGGTTTACATTGCCTGGTAAATAAGGGACCTTTCATTTTTTATGGGGTAGGGGGGGCTGGTGGGATTTGGAGGAGTAATTTGAAAGTTGTATGACCTCCCCCCCAATTTCCGATTTTTTTCGCATGCCCCCCCCCCTCATCAGAGTAATTTTTTTGGAAGGCCCCCCGCCCCCCATGAATAAAAAATACATAAGGTATTAAAAAAATTACTGCATTAAAATTTCGTTTTGTTACATTTCACGTAATTTAGTGAAAGAAAGCTGAAAGCTAGAAAGCTGTCTTTAACAAATCCTCACTCAAAAGAATGAAAAGTCAATTTCAGCTCTTCTTGTTACTGCTCGTCCTGAGCGTGTTGTAGCTGGCCGCTTGTCTACATATTCCTCGTCTGAGGCGATAAAAGCAAGAACGACATCATTTGAGTCGTCTTCAGAGTCAGGGGCATCACTCTTGTAATCATCATCAGTTTCTTCTCCCTCATTGCTTTCACCACTGCTCTCTAGTTGACCTGATTCATTGTTGCCTCTCACTTCGGCTTGACCTGTTCTGAGAGTATTCATCTGCGCTTCCCAATTGTCTTCTTTATCCTCCCTCCATGACAATTCCGGAAGCGTGCATAAACGTTGAAGATGTAGCAGCATTGTTGCTAACACGGGATGCAGCATTCATCGCTCACCTACTGCAATCAAGCTACTTCAGCAACGCAGCACAAAGCAGGCTTATTACCAACCTTAAGCCAGAAGTAAGAAACAGGATGTATTGCTTCCTGCATCCTGAAGATTATAGCTCAAACGTCGGAGACACGAACAAAGAGGAAGAAGAAAACGACGAAGAAGAGGAAGAAGAGGAAGACAACGAAGAAGAACAGGAGGAAGAAGAAGAGGAACACAGCGACGACGAGATCGAAGAGAACGTCGAAAATGAGGAAGGGGACACCTCGTAGTAGTTTCATGCCCCTCCCATTAAATTTCTCAGAGAAAAGCTCTGGTAACGAGGTCAGTTCCAATTCAGGACTCAAATCATTGGTTTTAATTATATGACCTTGACAACAACATTTTTATGAATGAAAAGAAAGTTGTTGCTATTCAAGACTGTTATTATGGTATGTTCACTGTCCTTATAAAATATAAAAGCTGTTGAGAAGTTTTCTTGTTACCCTGGAACCGTTTTAGCATATTTGTTATAAATAAAAGAGCACAATTTTTCTTCCATTTGTAAACATCTCTTATCCTATTTTTAATCTAATTTTTTCGTCCGACCCCCCCCCTTTCCTTCATTTTTTTCGGCTGGCCCCCCCCTTTCAAGCACATTTTTTCGAGTGCCCCCCCCAAATCCCACCAGCCACCCCCTCTCTCATAAAAAATGAATGGTCCCTAACCCTTGGGAGCAAGCAACAACAAGTTCCTAAACGGCCCACAGGAGTCGTTACATTTGAGTCCCTAAATAGCCAAAACGTTCCGTAATAGTCCAGCTGTTCCCAACAGAGCAGCTTTCTGGATCACTGCAAGTCTGATGGTAACGTTAAGCTTCTCCGCGTATTTGTCAAACAAATCGGATATAGCTATTAATGCCCCAATCGCAACTGGCGCAACCGTCGCTTTCTTCAGCTTCCACAACTTTCTTATTTCTTCTCGAAGAAATTGGTACTTCTCTATTTTCGCCAGTTCCTTGTCTTTTACCCGTGCATCTCAAGGGAAAGCGATGTCTAGGATCTCAGCCTCCTTTATTATTATTATTATTGTTATTATTATTACTATTATTTAAAACTCTGGACTTCCTGCAAGAGGTATTGACCGTATCTGAGCCGCAAGGAATGTATCTGGGAAATCGTTATTGACACAGTGATGGTATTTTTATGATTTACATAATTCTTAATGTTATATAGTGCTTAATTCTTACTTGAAATATTTCGTAAATTATGAACATATTTTTGAAGTTGAATAAAATTATTATTAATTATGATTTATTATTATAATTTATGTTTTTATTATTATATTATTGTTATTATTATCATCATCATTATTATTAATATTTGATGTAAACTCTCCAGTTCATGAGGCCTACAAATAATTCACAAACTCATTGATGAAATAATTCTTAAAGACAAAAACAAAAGAAATTAATGTTTAATGAGTGTCTTTATATCTGATAAATACACGGCTAAACTTAACGTCCAGTTTTTTAGACCAAAATAACCCCAAATCAAAATATTGGTGCAAGAATGAGTTGATCTATATCAAAGATTTTGAAGCCGTTCAAAAAACTAAGGGTCTTGTATTATAAGCTTTAAAAACTCGAGGCGCATTTTGCTCGTTTTTTAAACAGTACATAAGCCCACCTCCGAAGTATTTTACTAAAACCTGGTATGCTCTCTTTGACAGAGAAAGATCATTTTGAAGAGTGCGCCGTGACAGTTCATCAAGAGTGTGTCCAATACTACGTCAACGTAATAATGACGGATCACCAGATCTGCCAAGACGCTGAAGAACTCAACAAATGTTATGATTTAACCAGCAAGAAGCTAAATTGTGAAGCCAAGATAATCAAGCATTATTCCCGCATGGTGGAAGATGTAGCTCATAAAGTGATCAGTTTATTAAGTAGTCATATGAAATACCTGTGCAGTTAACCACCAATTAAATTTTACTTAGTTACAAGAGATAAAAGAGACCTTTATAGCATCAGGCATTTCATGGGAAACCGCAAACCGCAAACCTGAGAATGTCACGTGACCACGGTCTTGCGGTCGCGTTTGGCGTTTGCAGTTCATGTTTAAATGACAGGAGTGGCTTCCAGTGGTAAGTGACTTACAGCAAGGATTTTTTGCCACTAACAATTGTATATCCTCACGTTTAAAGGCAAGAAGTAGCTTTCTACATCCGCCTGCGATGTGCTAGTTAGATTCTTGGTCTCGAGGCAATGAATTATATGTCTTTTGGGAGATAAAAGTGATGCACTTCGACTTGACGAAAAACAACAAGGTGGCACTAAATTAAAAATAAAATTTGAAATCCAATGGTTTGCGGTTTCCCATGAAAAACCTGATTCTAAAGGTCTCTGCCTGGTTTTCATATGTCGGGAAAATCCCAGACGATCGGGGAGTTTACTGTTTCCCTACTGTCCCAGTAAAAACTAATAAATTGTAGATATCCCCGATCGTCTGGGATGGACGGGGACAAATCTGGAGAATCGGGAGCGTTCCTATTTTCCCGACGCATCCCAGATTTCTGTGATGGTCGGCGATCACTCCCGACAAATGAAAACTCAAATTTGTATCGTCGGGGACGTCGGCGATAGATTTCGCTCATTACCAATCCCCCAAATTTCTGGGGTCCAGTATCACGCAAGTTTCAATTTTTGGCGCACTTTCCATTTCCAGCCAAATTCATCGGGAGAATCAGAGAGAGAATTGTGGCAATTGGCCGATATATCTGGGACGGTCGGCAAAAAGTAAAAGCCCCGATCGCCTAGGACTTTCCCGACATATGAAAACCAGTCTTCAGAGTGACGTTTACGGCAAACGGCCAACGTCAGATTTCTCATACTAGAAAACATGCATCTAGAATCAGTCAACAACAATTGTTATACACAGAACTAATGTGAAGCTTCTAATTTGGGAGTAGAAGTAATGAACAGCAAAGTCCAGGTTAAGGGAAAACTTGGTCACGTGGTACAAGTTCACGTTTGCCGTAAACGTGACTCTTAACTCTCTCTACTATCTTAGTCCCGACTGGAACATAAGGTCCGGATTAGCTTAATCTTGCCTCGTGTTTTAGTAGGCATGTGCTTCACCCAATAGAGAGATTCATCTCTTCCACTTCCTTCATCGCTGGCCTTCGTCATTTAGTTTGGGCCTGCCTGTCCTTTGGTGAACGTGACTCTTAATCTCCCTAAGGCTGATTTAGCAACAGAACGGGAGCGTCATTTGACGACGGCAAAGCGAGCGGAAAGGACTAAACTCGATCGACTTCCAGTGCCCAATTTGCCGCTCAGCCATTGGTCAAGCCAGTTGTCTGATTTGCGCGCGCCGTCGTCAACTGACGTTCTCGTTCTGTTGCTAAATCAGCGTAGTTGACTGGAACATAAGGTCCCGAGTAGCTTAATCTTGCCTCTTGTTTTAGTTGGCATGTGCGTCACCCAATAGAGAGATTCATCTCTTCCAGTTCCTCCATCGCTGGCCTCCGTCATTTGGTTTTGGCCAGCCTGTCCTTTGGTCCATCTCCAGGCAACGTTTTGTATCCTCAGTTTTATGGGGCATCTGCAGGACATAACAGATCCATCGTAACTCTCGGTGTTTAATCTGAAGAAGCATAATTCGTCCTCAGTTGCCCTATAGAGACTCTCTTTAGAAAACTTTATAGAACAATAGATATACAGATCATAGGTACGCAGATATTGCGGGAGACACTCACCTTTCACATGGGTTTAGAGAGATAATAGAGTGGAAACTTAATAAATGTATTCAGAACATGAAATTTTCCTGGTCTTAGCTTGAAACAATGAATAGTTAAACGTCCCTACGGAAAAAAAAAGGAACTCGGTGGCAGGTTTTGTGGTTTCGGTGGCGATTTTATAAACCCTCAGCGACCAAGAGCTAGCACATTTTCAAACTTCTTATCATTTCCACTTTTAAGTGTAATGACTATATCAGTTTTTCTTAATTTGCTTACACCCTTTGTTAAAGACCAATGGCTTCTTTTAAATGAAACTGACGAACTGAAGTAAGTGTTCAAGTGTGTATTTTGTTCTTGCATTGAGCCGGAATGAAGCTATAAATGCAAAACATCTGACCAAAATTAAACTGCATGGAGCTTGAAACTTGTCTTGCTTTCAACAGCGTTTTCGTATTAAAACTGTCACAAGGTGCGGCAATCACGAGGAGAGCTTCATGTGAGCTTGAATCGACGAACAGTGACAGAGGCAGACTTCATTCGAGCAGGTTGGCAAGAACGAAACTCAAGAGACTGAAAAGGAAAAAAAAAGCATTCAGAAAACTAGTGCAGGTGCGACAAAATTTTCCTTTTTTTGAGAAGAAAACCACTTCTGCTCAATTCAGTTTTCCATGCTTCCATGCAGTATATAACATGGTAAAAAATAAGCGGTTAACCATAAAATTTTCTTAATGCAAATTTGAAAATTTATTTCAAATGCCAACTTGTTTTCTTGGAACTGAGCTAAGATGCCTCATTCGAACTAACCTGCAAGTAAAACTTATCTCAGTAAAACCACCCTTAGCTTATCGCTTTTTTCACGTTTGGCTTGTAAAGGCTTCTACAGTTTTACCCTAAATGTCTTTTCAAGATCGTTGATACCTACAAAAGCTACAATATATTTTGTATATATTCAATTACAGTTGACATTCAAGGCTGAAGACTGCTGTTAAAAATATTTGGTGATGTTGATCATGGATAGAAGTTTGGCCAACCAGTCAATTTTTGCCGGTCTCTTCAACTGCTAAAGATGACATGACTTCATCGAGGGTAAACAACTCAAAGAAACCAGTGGACAAAAGAGTGTATGACGTTAGTGAGACCTTGGCATTCGTGGTCACGTAATCAACATCCAGAAAACCTTACACCGATCGAAAACTTGGCAAGAGCTGATAGGAAGGGACATGAGTCACGCCAGACCAAGGTCATTTCAACACAAGGATCGTATGTAAACAAGAAATATGCAAATTTTATACAAAAACAAAAGACGGAAAAATACCAACAGACTATAGATTACAATTACAATTTCATTATTAATATTAATTTTTTTTAGTGTTTGTATAGGTAATAATGGCATAAGTTGTAGTGATATTTGGCATAAATACCACCAGTGATATTTCAAAATTGTTATACGTAATTTCACGAGCCGTTAGGCGAGTGAAATTTGAGACAATTTTGAAATATCACGAGTGGTATTTATGCCAAATATCACGTGCAAACCATGCTATTATTTGTTTATAGTACTACCAGCAAAAGGTTTGTAATTTTCACATCTAGGTATTTCAAATTAAGCTGAAATACCACTGCTCTAAGCCAATCAAATTGCAGAAATTTCTCATGTAGTAGTATAAAGATCAGTATAGGCCTTTTAAAAACAATTTTTTATAAAATGTTCTATCCTCTATTATAAAGCTTTGAATATAAATACAATTTTTTAAATAAAGTAACAGCCTCTTCTTTAACAGGGTAACACTAAACACCAGAAATGTATTGTCTCTTACCCTCTATGCATTTTTCAGCTTGGCTTTCGAAAAACAAAGTGACGGTTTAAAATTTATATTTCAGCCAGCAATGATCATTGACGCTAATGCATAAAAGGTCACCTTCAAAACATGTGTTATGGCTTCCCATGATTGTTTTGTTTTGGTCAATTTCTCAAGCACTAAAAATAACTTTTATTACAATAAATACTCTCGTCATTGTCAAGTTTGGTTGTTTCAATATCTGTTTTTGTTCTCGTGTTAGAAATGACCTTAACCCCTGCACGAAACAGTACAAACAATACTTAACACATGTTATTATCATCATTTAAAAAAGCCGCGTCAGGACGAAAAGGAATATTACATGTACAAGGAAAATATTCTCCTTGTAATCCTGCTCAAATCACTCACCAATCAAAGGCACAGTACGGTGCATTTCATAATTTTCCCGGTAAGAATAACTTGAAAGCAACCCTTAGTGTTAAATTTTTCCATCTGTGCTTAGAATAAAATTAGCCGGCCAAAGTCGAATATTAGGCAGTTGCCGATAGTATTTGTAAATATCATAAATAAAAGAACAAAAAGCTGTATAAAAATTAGTAAATCTTCCCTTCTACGGTATAATAAAATTAGAAAACACTTGGTAGCGCATGAGTTGTAGCTTCTTTTAATTATTGTTTGTTAGAACAAAAAGTCCTTTTCGTGAGAATGATATAAATAACAATTAGTTCACTCAAAGGAAATTCAATAAAGCGTCACAGAAGTTTTTGAGGCTGTCATAGATATTTGTATCTTGCTGAAGAATGTACTCTCGTCAACGTATACCATTAAAAAAACAAATTCGGCGGGCCATAATTTAAATGTCCGATTTTCTCAGTCTAGCCAATCAGAGGCAGTCCACAAACTCTCAACAATGCATTTCGTTTGCTCATCGCTGCCAAAAGACGTTACACCTTTGTTGGCAAGGAGTGTTTTTGTTCTTTTATAAAGGCTTCTCATTTCATCGCATTTTCTTTGAGCCAGGAGGAAGCACTGATAAGCAAGGTACTGCAAACATGTAAATTTAACTTAAAAACAACACTGATAAGCTTGCTTTTATTATGCATAGGACAGGTCAGAGAACGCTGTGAGATTCGTGCTATGCAAACGCATTTTAGTTTCAGGACACGCCTTTTTTGCGCAGCTCAAAAATTTCAACATGCGAGAAGTTTCTAACGTGGCTGAGTTATACCGTTCTTTGAAAAAAATCTCTCAGTAACTTGAAATCAGAAAGGATTGAAAAGCGGGATGGATTGTTTTTTATTAGTTGCGCTACGCCTCTCCCGCGGGAACAAAACAGATTCGTTCAGCACTCGCTCGTCTTATCATACCTTCTGCAGGGTAGCTTACTTTGGGGTGCTTTTTACTACATTAGAAGAATGAATACCTTCACTTGTAAAAAGCTTGATGACATGAGTAATTAAGTTATTTGTTTTACAACGCCTACGCAGTTACTGAGCCAAGGGGGATGGAAAAGGCCTCTGGGCACTCAGCCTATATTGGCTGCTGTTTGACCCTCACTTGACTCTTCACTGTTGTGTTTATTCTGCTTTTGTTTTTCACGTGCTGTGAAATTTAAGAAAAAAAAAAAGAAGGAAAGAAACCAGTTTTGTCTAATTTTGCAGCCGTCATGAGCCACGTTTTTCAGCAACATATTAACTGAAGAGTTGTCGCCCAGCAAAACAAAGTTACGTTGTAATAATCAGCATCCAGACGTACTGAGTATAGCAAGATCAATGTTCACACAGCTAAAACTGTGGAAACAAATATTATGGCTAATTCGGAAAGGTTTGTTTTCAAAAATCTTTGATCATACAAAAAATATTTTGTTCGTTTCTTATTTAACAACGATATACTAGCAGGTCTTTATTGATCTCTAATTCCGCCAACGGTTTCTTTCCTCGGGTCAGTAAAAAAGAAAAATTGGTTTGCCAGTATCAGATAGCCAGTGGACTATAACGTATGTGCAACTATCGGGTCGCTTAACAGCTAACTAGAACTTTCCAGACAAAAATCTTTAATATAAACATAATCATATCCAGATAACTATAATTGATATCTAATAACAAATTAACACCGGTAACTGCAAAGGAAAAGGTAATGATAGCAATGTTTTTGTAAAAAAGGGAAGAAATTAAACGAAAAAAAAACAAAAAAACAACTCAGAAATGGAGCTTTGTATCGCATGAAACATTGCTGTCACGATCCTAATCAAAAAATTCGAAAAAAATTGGCCACAGATAAACAAAAAAAAGAATATGAATTTATTATGGAATAGTTAAATTATTATAGAACAAATATATAAGTTGCATGTCAACGTTTTATTGGTTTGAATGAAAGGGAAAATATATATGATATTTTTGACGTTTAGCAGCTGGTCCAAGAGGGTAAAATATTATTAGATTCTTAGACGCCAAATTTGACATAAAACCCTGCAGGCCATGATCTTGGAGAAACAGGATGAAAGTCAGAACAATGAATCTTACCTGTTTTACCTGTTTAAGCTACGGACCATTAGAAAAGTGAAAGGAGAAGGGAGGGTGGGGAGGTTCGAGGGGGTATAGAAAGTTCAGTTTTCACGAATTATTTTGCCACCCGGCTCTTCCACATGCATAACTATTTTTGAGACGATCAAATCCATCGCGCTCATCAATTCCTAGATTTCTAGCCTTCCCACATTGTTAAAATTCAGGAATTGTACACATACTGTACATACGGTACTGTGGAAGTAGTTTTTACATGCAGATACATGTGATCCTAAATAATAAGACACTGGGATATCAGCAATGTTCTCGATAAGCAGCGACTGGCTATGAAAAAAAGGCAGTGGTACATGTGTAACATGGAGACGTAAAACTGAAATTAATATTATCGGAAAAGCAATTTCCAACATTCTTGGCATGAAATAGAACAGCTTACATTAAGCTATTTTTTTTCACTGAAGAGTTAAAACGACGTGCATTTTTCTGCAATGCTGCTCTTTCTTTACAATGAAAGTTACTTGTCAAACTATTTGCTCCTTTCTGAAACCATAGCTGTAATTGTACTACGAGTTTTGTAGTAATAATTATAAAAATAATAAAAATAGTCACTTTTAATTAAATTATCATCATTATTATCTTTATAATCATTAAGAATTATTATATTCTATCATTGTTATTGTTCGCTTTGTAGGATCTAAGCGCAAGATGTCAGGGTCAGGATCAGGAACGGAAGAATCGTCAGGGATGGGGAATGACACTGAAGTGGATGAGCGATACATTGTAGAAGACGATGAGCCCGATAAAACCGCAAAGATGATCATGATTGGCCTCTACGTCATTATCTTCTTGTTCTCCTTGGTTGGCAACTCCCTCATCATTCATCTTGTCCGCACCCGTAAGAGTATTCGCAAGAATCAGTTCTACTGGCTCATTGTCAACACAGCTGTGGCTGATCTCGTTGATGTGTTCGCAGCTTCCGCCGTTTCCATTTTGCTCTTTGGATTTGGAGATCAACCAGGAGTATTTGGAACAGTGTTATGCAAAGGCTTACCATATGTGTTGGTTGTCTCCATTTGTGCTGCTATCTGGACGCTCACAGTCATTGCTGTTGACCGATACCTGGTTATTGTATGTCTCCGAAGACGCGCCCTGTCATCCCGGTCAGTGTTGCGTTCCATTATTATAGTTTGGCTCTGTGCTGCATTAGTATCCAGTGTGTACCTGTACAAATACAAGACAGAAATGGATGAAGATGGAACTGTACAAATCTGTTATGAACAGTGGCATAAAAATGAGGAGATGGACAACACTTTTTTCAAAGCGGAAGTGATTTTGAAAGTTGTCCTTACCTATGCAGTTCCACTCGTCGCAATGGCAATCTTGTATTTTCTGATTGCCAGGTTCCTGTGGAGGCGCAAGCCACCAGTCAGTGTCAATCAACAAGCTTACAATAATCAGATCAGGAAACGTCAGACCGTCATCAAGATGTTGATTACAGTTGTCACCGTTTTTGCGGTCTGTTGGTTTCCTGTGCACGTCAGTCACATAATGCCTGAGTTTTACCAAGACGAATACTCCGATATTCCAGAGGTTCTCAAATGGCTGTTCTTCTGGCTTGCGCATGCCAATGCTGCAATTCATCCCTGGCTGTTCATTGCATTCAGTGAGCATCTCAGAGAAGGAACGAAGGAGATATATCGAAATATGTGGAAACGAAACAAACTGAGGCTGCGTAGTCGTAGTGGGTCTACTCCAAGTTTGGCTACTACCGAGGATCCTCTGTCCAGGTCTCCCACGCCAAAGAGCAATGGATACACGGCGGAACAAAATGCTTGAAAACGCAGCATGTTTGACGCGATATTGTAGATGTAAAGGGTCATTGAAGGCGAGTCTATTCAATGTAGATTCGTCATTGGTACAAGCATTGCTACTAGTCAGTGGCGTAGGACTCATAAAGAGTGACTGCTTTAGCATACCGCCATGCCAAAAGATTGTTGACTGCAAGTCCCTAGTTATAAGTTACTTGCTTAGCTACATCACGATTTAGGGCGTAGAATAGATTCTGTTGAGACTTCAAAGATGTATTTCTCTACCCGTAGACAAAGGTCAAATAAACCAAGCCGCGGCAACATGATATCCTCACTCAAACGTAAGCATTAAGTCTGAGGAATATGTGCCAATTCACACTTTTTAAAAATAATGTGAAATTTGTGAAGCCGATTGATCGCGCCAGAGGCAGAATGAGATTCTTGTTCACAAATCTCATCAAACGTGACAGCGTGATAAGTCAACAAAGAGTCATAAAACGTAATACATGGACTTCGGCTCATTTTAACTGCACTGATATTTTCTGCTTTATTGCATTTGTAATTATCTCTAGCCAGATGTAAGATTCTGCTATTGTAATAAACTGCCTTGTAACTGTAGCAAATTTACTTGAGAACAGAGTATTTTGGGGACGCCTTTAATTCATTTGATATATGGGGGATAAAGACATTCGCACAAGTTGTTTGTAGGAGTACCTTCTGCCTTCGCAATTATGACATTAAAATGCAGTTATACTAAGAAATTTTGTTATATTCATTAAACTTAGGATCGTTTCTTTGAATTCTTAGAAAAGCCTCTTGATTTAACCCTTCATAGGTTGCGTCCTTTTAGCCAAACTTTTTTCGGATTTAAACAACACAGATTGATGGATTTTCGTGCTAGCCGGAACTAAAATCTGAAATAAGATTTTAAAATCCATACAGTACGTAGCTGCCTAATGCTCTGATCTTCTTCTCAATTTAAACACACCATTTTTTATTTCTTTCCGCTAAATTAAGCGTCTTCTCGTGGATAAATGGGAGCTCTTTCACTATTGGTGGTTTATACTGGGACTCGTCAACTTGAAATTGATCTGGAATTTGATTCAAACCTATTCAGAAGACAATTACGAATTCTCAAGAACTGAGAAGCGCACCTTAAAGACACACACATTGGAAATCTCACGGTGCATTTTCGCTTATTTTAGTACGGATGTAGAGTTACAGTGGAACTCGAGTTTAATATACTACAATTAATCCTTAAGCGGCATAGAACAACGACGGAATATCAATAACTTTTGCCTGAACTAACCTTGACCCGCCGTGTTTATTGATGAACGAACACGTTGTTGGGATCGAAAAGCAGTTTTGTTAAATGGAACAAAAATCTGAAATCAGATTGAGATACCGATCTGAACGATCCAAGTGGGAAGGCGGATAGCTCAGATAATAATCTAAGATTGGTTTAGTCCTTGATGGAACGAAAAATCAAATTTCGAATCGTAAAATCCGGATTTAGATTGGTCAAAAGGAACCCAACTTTAATTTGTTCATGTTAAATCAGTCTGTCCTCACTACAACATGGTCTGTGGTTACGTGCAAATGGACGCAACAACCCCCAACAATGTTTGCGCCAACAATGTTGGGAGTTGTTGCGTGCGTGTTGGCAGTGGTGTGCAAACGGATGCAACAACTCCCAATCATGTTGGGACATACAGTGCATCGTGGGAAGGATACAACCCATAAGTCTTTGTAAACCATGCGTAATGCTCGCGCGCGCGCCCGAATAATGTTGGAAGAGTTGTGCAAACGGATCCAACATTGTTGCGCTACGCTTCGGCGATCACGGAACAAACGAAATGGTAGCGTTCAGCCGAAACTCGGCTTCTTACATTTGTTCAAGATCTATGCAAGAACCTCCGCGACAATGAGCAAACAGATGTTATAGTTATGGACTTTGCGAAGGCCTTTGATAAGGTAGGTACCCCATAAGAAGTCATGATTACACTCACCCATGATTACATCCTACACAACCAGATCCTTAAGGAAAAAGATGCAGTTAAATATCTTGGCGTCACTGTACACCATAAGCTGTCTTGGAACGAACATATATGCTCTCTAGCTAAGAAAACTAATTCATCCATGGGTTTTCTCAGACGAAACCTACAAATTCACCAGAAACACATCAAAACTAATGCATACATGACTCTTGTTCGACCACAAATCGAGTATGCGTATACTATATAGGATCCTTTCACCCCAGGGAACCAAAATAAAATTGAAATGGTACAGAGAAGAGCTGCTCGCTTTGCTTGTAACAACTACAGACGCGAAGTAAGGCCCGGTTCAGACGCCGCTCCACTCATGTGCCAAACCTAACTGATGAATTAAGTACGGCAAAAGAGCGGCGTCTGAATCAATTTGGTACGGCAGTTTTAGTTTGGTGCGGTAAAAGCATTAAGTTCGACAGAGTCTGTCGAACTTTTGTCGAATTTAACTTAGGTTCGACACACGGTACGTCGTCTGAATCAGATGTCGCGCCAGTGTCGCTCCAAAGTCGAACTTATTCACTTAGGTTCGGCACATGAAAAGTAAGGAGTCTGAACCAGGCCTAAGTGTCACTACCATGCTTGATGAGCTTGGCTTTCGCAGTCTCAAGAAGCGAAGAGCAGACCAAAGATTAATTATGTTATACAAAATTGTAAATAACCTAGTTGAAGTTGATCTTTCTAAAGAACATACACCACTTACGAGACACTCTAGAAATAGTCACACCAAATCCTTTACAATTCCCTACGAAAAGAAACCCTATCTTCAATACAGCTTTTTACCTAGAACTATAAAGCAGCGGAACAGTTTGCCCGCCACATTAGCCACAACCCCAAGTCTTAATGTTTTTAAGAGTGGGGTCTGTGAGCTGAAACATTAAGAACCTTTACGAACCTGACCGAATCCGAGCATATAACCCTTGCACAGAGAGAATGCTGGTAATATGGTAAATGTAAATGTTGGGAGTTGTTGCCCTAGAGTCCACGTATTATGGCAGAGATAATGTACATGGAATTAATCATTTTCTGTATTTACCTCGCCCTAAAATTTGAATGTCGACCGGAGAAACGCAAACATGAGGCATCTTTTTATTGTTTCCTAATGAGTTGCGTCCGTTTGCACGGGGCTTATGTCTCATTCTGCACAGTGGTAGCTTTCGGTTGACAGAAAGTTCTACCTGATAATAAGATCCCTTTAGTGTCATCGATGAAGTCAGAGGTGTTTCACCAGACACCCTTTGCTGGCGTTTGACGAGATGTTCTTTAGGTGCTCGTTATTTTGGAGATGTAATCATGGTACTGGGTCTCTTCCCTGGTGTGATTCTCCTTTACCTTGTCCCAGTACTGTACTGTAATGATTCTCGCTATAGCCAATCACTTCCGCTGTTTATGTTTCCGGTGCTATTGCTATCGTGATGCTTTGCGAGTACATGTTTTTCATTCGGCTATATTGTCGCTCTCAATAAAGTAGTGTTAACCTCAGTAGTGATCAACCTCAAGGCTAAAGCTTGCTTAATACCATACAGAAGTATTACAAGTACCAGAAGCATTATGCTCCTAGCTTTTCATGGAAATCAGGAGTCTCCCGATGACCGCTTGCACTATCCGTATCAATCCTATCGTCTTGTTACGCTATTTTTATACTTAGAGGTACAGCTGGAGTGTCCTTTTAAGGGAGTAAGCCTGGATATGAGGCCGTGACCTCTGCGGAGGAGTCCAAAGAAAATCACTCGTTTGGCTGTAAGAGCTTGTGGAAGAGTGTCGTGCTAGTAAATCAACCACCTTAGGGGTGTTTCTGCTGATTTTCCGTAAGAATTTGCTCCCGTCAAGACCTAGCTTCCAGCGTGTTTGACTCATGGCTTGGAGTCTAGTTTGTAAGCACCAGGAACTGTTCATATATAGTTTTTTCATTTAGTTGACTGCGGGTAATCCCTTTTTAGTTAGACGAGTCAGAGCTTATTAGCAAGAATGAAGAGAGAACAAACTGATGGTTAACTGGGTCCTCATTCATTAGCTTGCAACATTGTTCACCAGAGCAACAATCTCCAAGCATTCCTAGCAGTTTACATCAGGGAGCCAGAACACCTCAGGTTACTTGAAGCTCCGCCTGACACCTATGTTTTGGAGGAGTTACAGGCAATAGTGCTAGGCAACGGATACGGATTACTGACACATCACCTAACCTCAATCAAACACGATCGAGGAAAGATTAGCTACTCTTTCAAGTAACGGTATCCATTACTTTCTTTATGGAGTGATTGGGGAGAGGCGCTCAGTGGGGTTTCCTTTGTCCAGTGTTTTTTTTAGCAAAGCATGTCCAATACATCTGACAATGAAACATCTTACAGTTAAAGCCCTTCAATTCGCTAGTAAGCTAGGTCAACTCACGGCAAAATTGGTCAAGGAATCATTTTAACCAATTTCGGCGAGTATAGAGCAGCGTTAGGTGCAACGTTTTTCGCTGTGAATAAATAAAGCCTGAAAAACTCGGCCTTTTACGGCTCCTTGAATTCTGTGGTAGCAATAACTAGTGCAGCGCTCTGATAAAGCTATTTGGTGAGCTATTAACCCAATCTATAGGAAGGTGGTCATTTAGCAATGATAATATAAATAATATATGACAAGAAATTTTAGGAACACCCAACGAAGTATTCATCCTAAATACATTGAAAAAACTTTTTATCCCATCCAGAGTACTTTTAGATCTCTAGAAATTAATTTTAAGAGGCTCTATAAAATTTGTATCTGTTCGGGGAACTTGAGTCTTTTTAAGAAATTACAAAAGCCTCTGTCAGTATTATTTTCTCGAAACTTTTAGATTCAATTTTAAGTTTTACGAAAGAGATCGAGAATTTTTTTGCTTCCTCTCTCCCTCTCCTTTTCGAGTCCGAAAATTTTAGGTTTCCTTTTTCTACGAAAAAAAAAAGCCTAACCTGGGGACTGAAATGCGAAAAATTGAAAGTTAGGGGAATTTATTTAGATATGCTTCAAAAATTGTACGTGAATGGAACGATCATCTAGAATTTTTTTGCCTTCGTCAAGCTATAGAAAATTCTAGAGAATGTTTGCTTCTCCCAACAGATAATTTACAGAAAATATTCTTTGGGTGCCCTTGAAATTCGATATGATTCAAAATCTGTGCATGGATTTATGTGGCTCTTCTAAATAAGGTATTTTCAAGGGCTCAAATTGGCCGTTCGATATGGTGGCCAAGTATTTGTTAAGTGCGTCGGTTGGGGGTCGACCAGCACTAACTACACTACACAATACCCTGAAACTAC